AGACACTAAGTGAGCCACTGAAGAGACGTATTTGACATTCAATATATGTAACATAAGGTCAGTGTTAAGGGCTGTGCGGGAAAATAAAGTGGAACAGGAGGCCAAGAGGGAGGCCAAGGGTCGGGGAGCAGCTAGTGGTAAGGGGGATCTTTCTGGAAAGGAGATTTTGAGGTAGGTTTAAGTTGGAACATCAGACAAGTTTTTCCTGGATAAACCCTTCTGGAGGAAGCTCTCGGGTGCCCGAGGGGGGGCCTGCTTAGCTGAAGCTGACTGGGGCACAAGGAGCGACCCAAGAAAGAAACCCAATATTTATTATTGCGGCCGCGGTCTGGCATTCTGTCAGCACGTTTCTCATTTAACGCTGACAGCTCCCTATGAGATAGAATTATCTCCACCTCCCACAGAATAGAGGAGGCACCGTGATAACCGGCAGCTGGCCAGGGGTGCCCTTCATTCTTCCTGTTGCTCCCTCCCCTTCCCAAGGACTCTGGCCCCAAATCGCTTTCCAAAATGCCCTTGGGGAACCGGAGATGACCAGCACCAGAGGAATTCCTGCGGTAGGGAAAAGCCCTCACGTTCCCACAGGTGGCACCTGTGATCTCGGGGTGCGGGTGGGCCAGGCTGGGAAGGACTCGGTGACATCACTCTGCCGTTTGCAGCCTCGCATATCTCGACCCAAAGCGGAGGCAGCCGCAGGGTTCCCGCCAGGCGGTGCCTAGGAGACCTCACATCACCTCGGCCCGCCCGCGTCTTGCATCTGGGACCCGCCCGCCCTCCCAAGGGAGCCACCTGGGTGGGGAGGAGAGGGAGCCCGAAGCCACGCACACCTTATCCTCAGCTAAGCTCAGGGATTGCGAAGTAGATTAAGGGCATTCGCTCACGAGGACGCCTACTTAACCTGGATCCCCAAAGATCCGGGCAGCTCACCAACAAAGTCTCGGGCTCTGGGCCCCGCGGCGTGCGGGTGCGGGTGCGGGGCCGGGCGGGGCCCCCTTCCTCGCCGGCCGACTTCCTGCCTTGTTATCAGCACCGCCGCCAGGGGGCGCGCCAGGGCCGGACGACGGAGAGGCTGGCCGGCTCTGGGTGCCTTTGTGCGTTCCATTGACGTTTGTGGCCCACCTGTGGTGCTTACCCGGGGCAGGCTTCTGGCACTGCCAGGACGCTACCTCTGCGCTGGGCAGTTTAAAGAAATCTTGTCTGGTGAATTCTTGGGCCCACCACCCAGTCTACGGCCTGCCTGCTTCCAGGCTGTCCTCTCTGGTTGTCCAGCCTTCTAGTGGCCTCCAAGGAGCTCGCTTGAACCGTTCTGAGGCTCCTATAGCTCTTAGGAGAAAGTTAAAAGCCCCTCTCTCCAGTGAGAGACTGTGGGGTCCCCACGCGCCCCCTCGTGCCGCTCCCCTTGTTCTCCTAGGCCCTCTGGATGGGGACACCTGCTGCTTCCCCACCCTGCAGCATTCCCCTCTCTTCACCCTCCCCAGGCCGGTCCTGGGCGCCAGGTTTCTGGGCCCCCGAGCAGCTTTCGGGCACGTTCCAAGCAAAAATGAATAGCACGGCGCTCGATCGGAGATTTCCTCCTCCCTCCTGGCGACAGACGGGTAGCCCCCTGCGGGCGGGCGGGGGCCTGGCCGCTGTCGTCTTTGTCAACGCGGTGCTCCGCAGGCGGGCCGGCGAGCGGCGCGGAATACACAGCTGCCCACGGCGTGCTCCGGGGGAGCGCACATCAAAAGGAACCTCAGGGCAGCGAGAGAGGTGGGGGTGGGGTGGGGCCGGGCCGTCACCCGGCAGCGCCCAGCTCCCCGATATTCACACACACAACACCAAGGGCTTCCCACGTGCCAGCCCTCATCCCCCAGCACCCCCCCGGCCCTCCCCCCTTCTTGGCCCTCTTTCTAGAGGCCACCCTCCCATTCAGGGCGGAGGCCTCGGGGTCCACCGCACCGACGCCGCCACCTCAGCCAGCCTGGCTGACCTTGGAGTGAATTTAACCCTTTCCGCCATCCACTGCAACCCACCCTGAGGTTCGGGGTGCCTATTAGAGAGGCGGTGTTTCTGTTTGTGACACGTGGCACAGGGGCGTCGTCCCCCTCCCGGGTAGGGACCATTTCTGTGTTCCACCGGCAGCACTGGGGGGGGGCGGGAGGAAGGAAATTAAGCCTGTGTTGAAGGAAGGACACCTGGCAGAGGAGGGGAAAGGGCTCAGGAATCCCCTCCTCTGGGGAGATTTCAAGTGGCGGGAAATCCCTACGCCAGCTGCCATTCTCCAGGGCGCCATGCAGGGCCACTAGTGGGTTCCCACACCTCCCCGCCAGGCCTCCCCTCCTTCACTTCCCCAGGCTGTGCGGCCAGCAGAAGTCCAGGATTCTCTCCTCCCACCCACTTGTTTCCCGGCCTCTCTTCCCTTGCCTGCCTCAAGCTCCTGACCTGGGTCTGCGGGTGCTCCCAGGCTGCCTGGAGGAGGCATTGGGTACAAATGGCCCTGCAGAGAATGACCAGTCTTGCCTAGGCTGCCCAGGGCTACTGGCTGGGCATGTCTCAGCCGACCCTCAGCCCACCCACAGCCTCGGGGATCTTTTGCCCCCACCTCCCGGGGCTGGCACCTATGGACTCTGAGAGCCCATAAGTGACCCCAAGAGGTCATCTAGTCCAGCTCCTGCCTCCTGGCCACACTGACTCCACAATGGTGTCTCGGTGGCCAGGGCAGGTAGACCTGCTCAGCTCTCAGAATGACAATTATGGGCTCTGGAGCCTCCCAAACTGCCAGGCAGAAGGTGAGATCCAGCAGGCACCTCTGATCAGAAAACCAGGGGAGAGTCCCCGTTAGGCAGGACAGAACACAGGGGAGGACCTAGCAGGCCGTGTGGGGTGTATGGAGGGCTCTCTTCCCCTAGTGCTGGGACCCCGGAGCGCCACAGGCAATGATTATGGCAAACCCACTGTGACCCTCTTTCCAGAAACAAGGCACCCCAGAATTAGCCGATCACAGGGTCCTCTCTAAAGGATCCCCACTTCTGCAGCCTCCATCCCAGTCGTTGTTCTTGGGCAGGTTGGGGCTTTTTTCCGTCTTGCTCATCCTGCCCCTCTCAGCCTCCCTCCTTCCTCCTTCCCCTTCTCTCTCCTCCGGCTCCCCCTGCTAGTCTCCCGCCCTCTTCTCTCTGTATTGATGTCTCTCAGTTTCTCTCTCTCTCTCTCTTCTTCACTCTGTTTCTCCCTGTTCCCCCCTTCCCTCCTCTCTTTCATCTCTCCCCCCACCCCACCCCACCCCTCCAGCCGAGCACCCGGCTAGGAACGCGGCAGGAGCCATGACAAGCCCAGGCGGCTCTCCCGACCCTTGGTGCCCCGGGGCCAGTTCCCCGAGCTCCCCGCGCCCACAGCAGCCGTGTAGGGAGAGGGCTCTCAGGATGGGCAGGGGCAGCAGGTTCGAGCTGTGGGCACGGGTGGCCCAGATCAAAGGCCAGGAATGTCTGGCCCCTGGCCCGGACTTCCTCCGGCCGTGCCCCCCACCTGGCAGAGAGGTGGCCCGCCATTCCAGGCCTCTGAGGGACTTGGGGGCTGTTTCTTTGCTGCCCCTTCTGCCGCCGTCCCCTGAGCAGCGGCCCTTGCCCCCCATCACTGGCCTTGCTTTCTTCACCCCAGTCCCAGGGCTGCTCCAGGGTCCCAGGTGGCTCTGGGGCCGTGGGTGGCCCGGAAGAGGGGTGACAGGTGACAGGGGGCAAGTCCCCCAAGAGTGGCCTCCATCCCAGCACCACTCAGGGCTGAGACCTAATTCTCTGGCGTCTGGAGAGGGAGAGGACAGAAAGACCCCAGGGGGCTGTGGTGGGACTTTTCTCCTGTGGTGGGGGGTGGGGGTGTTGTATACATTTGGCTTCCACCCAGGGAAAGGACCCGTTATCACCGAACCCCAGGTGGGAGCTCAGGCAGAGAGTTGGGGGGGGGAGGGTGCCCTGGCGGGCAACACAGTCTTCCAAGGACCCCAGCTGCGCCCTGCTGGGGCTGCTGCGTTTCACTGGCCCCAAACGGTTCATCCATAAGATCCAAATGGGACTGCGGGCACTGCTTCTGACCCGAGCTGGAGGCCGGGCCTGAACCCCTCGTGGAGGAGAAAGTGACCTGGCTCCGCGAGCAGGAAATGCAACTGGCCGCTGGTGTCAGTTGCAGGAAATGCAAAGGCAGCAGGAGGTCCCGATACCGATCTGATCCCTGACAAAAGACTCAAATGACACTCAGCTCGGTCCCCCGGCGCCGCCCGCAGCCAGACCTTCGAGCCTCAGCGGACCCTTCTGCGCGCCTCTCGGACACCCGGGAAGCGACCTCCCGCCGCCGGGGTCGAGTGGCTGGCAGGCTCGCCGGCTCCGGAGGCTGGAGGCTGGGAGGGGTTGCATTTCCCAACCCCCCTCCGAGACCCTCGGATCCTGTCCTGCCCGAGCGAGGCTTCTGGAAACATCCGTGTGCTTTCTACTCTCGATTTCTCACGCGCCCAAGTCCAAAGGGGTCACGGTCCCCCGAGAGACAAGGAGCCACCCATCAATGCCCACGCCAACCCGGCACCACGTGAACGCCCCCGTCAAAGCCCCAGCTTCTTCAACCTGGCTGGCGGGGGCGGGGGGGGGGCGCCGCAGCAGTCCCGGGCCAGCGGAGGGTACAACGTGCCACCCCCCCCAAGTTCCCACTGTGTCCGGGGCGCGGGCTTTGCCCAAGTTTGCTGGGCGATGCCCTTCCCGGAGCCCGACTCGTGGGCCGGGCGGGAGGGGCGCGTGATTGACAGGCTGAACTACAGACTCATCTCTTACCTTAGGCCGCGGGCGCTGATTGGCTGCTCGCTGACATCCTCAAACCCGGCTGCTCCGCGCTGGGCTCGGGAGGGGGGCGGCTGCGGGTGGAGGTGCGCTTCTGACAAGCCCGAAAGTCATTTCCAATCTCAAGTGGACTTTGTTCCAACTATTGGGGGCGTCGCTCCCCCTCTTCATGGTCGCGGGCAAACTTCCTCCTCGGCGCCGCTTCTAATGGAGCCCCACCTGCTCGGGCTGCTCCTCGGCCTCCTGCTCTGTGGCACCAGGGTCCTCGCCGGCTACCCAATTTGGTGGTAAGACTCGCCTCTTGTCTGCCCGCGGCCCGATTTCTCCGCCGAGTTCCGGGGAGGTGGGGGGCGCCGGCGGGGGGTGGGCTGCAGCTCCTTTCTCCTTGCCTCCCTCCAGCCCCCCACTCGCCCACCCCTCCTGGATTTTCTGCTGGTGTCGCCTTCAGAATCCAACTCCTGGCTTTTCTGATAATCACCATTTTCCCTGCTACTCGCTGCAGAGGCTGGAGGACTTTTCCCGGCTCGGATGGTCTCTGATTCTTAAATCCTCACCCTCTACCCGTCCCCATCTGGGGGGCCCGAAGACCCTCCATTTGCTTGCAGTTGGGTTTCTGGAAATCCAGAGCTGTCCCTGGGGCCCAGCCACTCCTCTTCTCCATTTTGGGGTCTTCATGGGCAAAATCATCCTGTTTCTTCATTGCCACCCCCATCTCCGCCGGCGCCTCCATCAAGAGATTTCCCCCACAATAACCCCCTTTTGCCTTCATATTTCAGACCCCAATGGCTTCAGGGACCCCTGGGGCAGGGGAGCGGGCGGGGGGTGGGTGGATTTCATCAGATTCTCCCCACTCTGCTCTAGATTAATCTTGAGCCTCAGAAGTGAATATGGTATTTGCTGATCCGAGATGCCATTGAATTCAGATTTTATTCATTTCTTGTTTGTCCATCCTGGCAAAAGGGGGGCTCTTTGAAAATGTAGTTGTTTGGGAGGGGGTGGGTTTGTTCTTTAACCACAAACCCAATTCTCCATGTCAAATTCGTTCCTTTTGGAAAACCAAGGACCGAGGAGAAAGGGAGAGAGGGCAAGGAGAATTCTGTCCCCGAGAAATGCGGGTACAAAAGACATTTTTAGTAAATAAGGCTGAAACCAGGCGCGGTGTTTGGGGGGGGGTGCGTGTGTGGGGGGGACTGACCGAGGAATAAACAGCCCTTTGGGAGCCCCAGTTCCAGGGAGCCCCCTTGTTTTCCAAGCAGCCCCACTGCCCCCCGGCAGGTCCCAGAGGCCAGAGGGGAAAGACACACTGAAACCAGTTCTCTAAATTATACCCCGCCTGTCCTCAGCCTCCAGCCCCCTGCATTCCGGAAAACTTTAATTAAAGAATCTTACCCTCCTGGACGTAGGAGAGCCTCGGCCCGGGGGGTGGGAGGTGAGAAGGAAGAATTTGGGTTCCGTGAGCAAGAAGAGGGCCTGTGGCCCCTGAGCTGAAAGTCAGAGAGGAAGGCCACCAGGGCGCGGTGCCCCCTGCGCGTCCCCCTTTCCCTGACTCGCCACCCCCTCCCCAGGCCAAGCGAGGGGGAGCAGAGCCAGCATGGTTCCGGGGCCACACCCTGAGTCGGCCTCCAGGTGTTTGGGGGCCAGGAGGGGGGCAGGAGCAAGGCATGGCCAAGGGTCTGTGTGCAGAGGGTACTGAGAGTTGCTCCCAGGACATACACCCAAGGGAAAGTCTTTCTTCTGCCCAGCCCACCCTTCCCGCGGCTTTGGGCTGGCCTGGGGCCTCCGGTACATAAAGAAGTCCAAGGGGTGGCTGGGGCAGACCGAGATTCCAGGTCGGGGGCTCTGCCTGTTGGGGGAAGACCGCTGCCTTTCCAGCCCTTTCTGACCCTCTTTCCATCCCTGGGCCAAGGCCATGCTGTTCTTTACCTTCATGGGGACTGGTGGGGGAGGGTATGGAGAGAAGGCTTGGAGCCCCACAGGCTGCAGGGGTGACGAAGAGGCCAGGTCCCCTACCCTATTAACTGGAGGAGGGCACTTCCCGGGGGGGGGGGGGGGGTCTGTGGGGAAGGGTTGTGGGGGGTGGGGTGGGAGTCTGGTGTGTAATGGTGTGTTGGGGAGCATCTAGATAGCAAGATGTTGGAAAAACCTGGAAAGCCAGGACATCGATGTGTCCAATGCTGGACACATGGCTTGTTTGGGGGCTGGCGGGGGGCGGGGGGAGACAGGGATGCTGCTTTGTCTGAGCCGGGAAGAGGGGTGTGTGTGTGTGTGTGTGTGTGTGTGTGTGTGTGTGTGTGTGTTCTAGGTCTGTGATCATAAGAGATGTCAACCGTACACGAGTGTGTTTCTGCATGTGGAAGAGTCCGTGCCTGCACCTGGGCCACCATGGATGTAAACTCACGTGAGATGGGGGATCCGTGGCTGTGACAGGGTGTGCTGCGTCTCTATACACAGTGTCAGCAAGTGGCTGATGCTAGGATGTGTGTGTATGTGTGTGTGAGGCAGAGGAAGTCTAGAAGTGTCTATGCCCACGTAAAGGTCAGCCCCTGTGTATGCTTGTGACACTATGCATGACTGTTCATGACTGGGCATGCGAGTGGTGTGTGTGTGTGTGTGTGTGTGTGTGTGTGTGTGTGTGTGTGTGTGTCTGTGCGCGCGCGCGTGCGTGTGTGCATGCGTGTGCGCGCATGCCTTCGTGACGGTGTCAGGGGAAAGCCCCACAGCTGTCTTTGTGCATGGATATCAGTGCTCATGGCCATGACCTGATTGTGCTTGTAAGTAGGAGTGTGAGCCTGTGTCTGGGTCCGCCTGGGACCCTGTCCTCAAGTGCCAGTGACTGGTGGGGCCCAGGGTTGTGGATACGTTTACAGACCTCTCACTTACGGGTGTGAGTGACATCCTGAGCTTGGGTGCTTGGTGGGCGTCCGTGGTCCTGGAGGGGCAGTCCAGCAGGAGACAAAGGTCTAACAAGGAAACTGCGAAGGGCCCGGCTGACCTAGGGTCCCGGGCTGGGGCAGTGTCGGGGCAGGGGACAGAGCCCTTCTTGGCATGAGCTCATCCTGTCTGCCTGAGGACAGCGGTCAGCATCCCTCCCCTCTTAGGCCGTTTGTCTTTGGTCTTGGAGCTGGGGTGGAAGGGAAGGCACCTTCTTAGAGCTGGGGCTGGGCCTGGGACAGGGATGGTAGAGTGGACAGGCCTCGGATTCCTGTTCCCGCTCTGCCTTGAGGGCAGTCGGTCAGATTCCAGCTCTTTCAGCATTGGAGCCCAGCACAGCCTGCCCTCTTTAGCCCACCCAGCTCACACATTCCCCAGGAGGGATTTACAGGGGCAATGGTTTAGCTGGGATTGCTGTCCCTGCCACCTCTCAAGAGAGGCCCCTGCAACCCCCAGGGGCCGGTGCTGCTCGGGCCCCAGCCCCGAGAGAAGGCAGCCCAGAAAGTAGAGCCATTAGGGCCTCAGATGGAGGCTCAGGGAAGGAAGAGATGGGCTCCAGGCATTCCCAGCCAGGTAGGGGTAGAGTGGGGACAGGAAGCCGTGACAGCCACACTGATTTCTGTAATTCTCGTCGGTCCCAGTTAGCGCCTGCTGGAGGAACTTGTCTTTCTTCTCCTTCTTGGGGGAAAAAAGAACTCCCTTATTAGGGCCCATCCTAGGGCCTGCTACATTCCAGAGACAGAGGCCCCGATGGAAGGGGCCTACGCTGGGGGTCGGGAGCCCACCCTGCCTCTGTGTGACCCACCCACTTGGGGCTCTGCTTCCTCTTAACGCTCGAGCTTCCCCAGCCTGTCCTGCCTCACAGCTTGGGTGAAAGTGTTCTGCAGAAGTCAAGGGCAGTGAGCTGGGAAATAAGACACCTGAGTTCCCTTTCCACCACCCTGGCACCCATTCCCCCACTCCAGCGGCTGCCCCAAGCGCTGCCTCAGTTTCCCTCTCTGTCAGATGTCATGCTGCCTCCCCCACTCACTCCCACCTCCACCCGCCTTTCAGAGGCTTGTGAACATGTTCAGTCAAACCCCGTGGGGGTCAGTGGGCTGGGCCCAAGGAGGCACCTGGAGACTGCGGGGGAGGAAGGCCCCAGGCCAGGTGTTAACACTTGTAACAGGCAGGAATTACAGCTGGCTGGGGCTGGGGCTGGGGCTGGGGCTGGCGAGGAGCTGAGCTGGCTGGAGGCTGTTGATCCCACAGACAGACAGACAGACAGACAGATGGGCAGATCGGATGGCCAGGCTTGAACCGGGTGGTCTCCCTTCCAGGGCAGGCCTTTCCCTGGGGGGATTTTGGGGGGTGGTGGAAATTAATCCAGGTCTCTTGGAAGTGAGTTAACAACCCTCCTGCCCACCCCACCCCCATTGTGGGTGGGGCTTGCTGTCCAAGGGAAGCAAATTTGGTGGCGGATCTGTTTGTATTCTTATTATGGGACCACATTTTGTTTAAAACAAACACAAAAACAGGTCAAATGTTATAATACTACCAGGAGCCTGGAGCTGAGTTATTTTCTTGGAAGAACCTGCTTTAGCATAGGGGAAAAGGCATGGGGGAAGGGGCAGCAGTCAGGGAAAGTTCTCCCCGAATCTCAGAACATTTTTCAACAGCTCTGGGGCCAAGAGGTGAGTGATGGGTGGAGTCTGGGCTCTGAGCATCACTCACACCCCAGGGATCTTGAGGGCCCTGGGTCTGAGTTCTGGCTAGTAGGAAGACCTTCTGGGAGTGGGGGTGGGTCAGAAGAGTCAGGTGCCAAGTTCTTTAGTGGACACTCTCCCTCCCCACAGCTTTCCCAATGACAAACCCAGCCAGCCCCCAGCAGCCCCCACACTCTGCTATCTGGGTGCATGCTCAGTAACTGATGACGGTGGAGAAACTGAGGCAGACGGGGAGGGGGGGGCTAGGTGGAAATCCCCAAAGAGTAGACTCAGCCAAGCGACCATCTCTAAGTCGCCTCACTACAGAACTGAATGTTAAAAAGACCTGAATGGGACTTGGACAGACCAAAAATTGAGAAGACAGTGTGGGCAGTTGAGAAGGTGATCTGGACACGAAGTAGGGGAGAGGAGCTATGACCTTAGGGTTTTCTCTAGACTTTGAATAGGTCTGCGTGGGAGACAAGGAGCTTGGGGTCAGGGCAAGAGAGGTGAGTTTTCTCAGAGGAAGATGGAGCTAACTGACTTTTCTGGGGAGAGTGGGATCCCTTCTACCCCTTGGAGTTCCCAGGGCTATGACAGGGACTGATACAGTGCTGCGAAGGGGCGGCCCGGGTGCCACTCTCCCCCCCCTGCCCTCCCCACACCCCACC